TTATTATTATTATTATTATTATTATTATCATTATTATCATTATTATTATTATTATTATTATTATTATGTTTGTGATCATTAGATGTTTTAAATGTTTTGTTGTAACTTTTCTTTTGATTATTGAAGCATTGTGGCAATAAAATTCAACTGTGGAAAAATTTGATATTCTTGATGTATATTTCCATGAAAAATTGTCTTTTGAATCTACTTTATCAGTTCCAAAATTAGTAAAAATTCCTTCTTTATTGAAAACACATTCACCAGCAATTATTATATGAAGGATATAAGAATTGAAAAAAAAATATTAATTTTTATTGTTTAAGTACCATCTTGATATAATTTTGTTTTCTCTCAATTCTACTTCAGATGAGCCTGATGCTCCGGGTACTCCAGAACCAACTGACTGGGATAAAGATCATGTAGACCTAAGATGGACTCCACCCGCAAAGGATGGTGGATCTCCAATCACTGGTTATATTATTGAGAAGAAGGAGAAAGGTTCCCCTCGTTGGACAAAGGCTGGTGAAGTTAAAGGAAATGAATGTAAAGGTACTGCAGAGAATCTTGAAGAAGGTGTTCAGTACGAGTTCCGAGTTCGTGCAGTTAATGCTGCTGGCCCAGGTGCTCCAAGTCAGGCCAGCAAACCCGTCACTGCCAAGCCCAGAAAATGTGAGCAAATTCTTTATCAACAACTATTTTATGATATGATTTTACAAATGAATTATTTGTTATAAAATTGTTTTGTGTGAACTAAATGAAAATCATTTTTAGCAAAAACATTTCATTTGTTTTACTAGGAATGATAAGAAAGAAGAAAAATAATGTATAATATAATAACATATTTAACTCTCTTTCCCCTTTCAGTGGCACCAAAAATCGACAGGAAAAATCTTCGCAATCTTACTGTGCGTGAAGGAGAACCAATTCTCTTTGATGTTAAGATAATTGGTGAACCACCTCCAGATGTTACATGGACCATGAATAATAAGTCAATTCAAGAAACAAGTCATCGCAGAATTGAAAATGTACCTTACAATTCAAAATTTTTCCATGATGAACCTGTACGTAAAGACAGTGGTACTTACAAAATTACTGCTGTCAACAAATATGGTTCAGACTCTGCCGAAGTGGAAATAATTGTTGTTTGTAAGTGAATATAGTGTTTTATCACTAGGCCTATACACATCACATTTCTTCATGAATTTTGCTCTGATTTTATTTGACCTGGTATGTCCTTAGACATATTGTCAGTATCTTATAATTAATTATTTAAAAATTTGAGTGGCAATAAGAAGGAAATATTTTACATATTGCATATTTTAAAATATTTTTGTTTTGAATAGCTAAACCTGGAAAGCCAGAAGGTCCTTTAGATGTTTCTGATATACACAAGGATGGTTGCACTCTGAAATGGAACAAACCAAAAGATGATGGAGGTGAACCAATTGAAACATATCTTGTAGAAAAGTTTGATCCTGACACTGGAATCTGGCTACCAGTTGGTCGCTCTAAGGAGCCTCAGATGGAAGTAACTGGCTTAATTCCTGGCCATGAGTATCAATTCCGAGTGAAGGCTGTCAACAAGGAAGGAGAATCAGAGCCTCTTGAGACTTTGTCATCTATCATTGCCAAGGATCCATTTAGTAAGTGTGTGTTTTTAAACTTTCAACCTTTTGTAATCATGTATGCTTTAAAATCTTCATATTTTAGCATTAGTTTTTAAACATTGAACAAATCTAAAAATATGTCAACAATGTACGTATTGTGTAAGTTATTTTAAAATTGCACTCATATCTTCCATAAGATTAAACTCATGGTTCATTTCAAATAAATAGAAGAATTTAAATGAGACATTTATTCAAAGAACTTCATTTACTGAAAGAAATATGAATTATTAGTGCTTATGTTCTTTGCAAATATTTGTTGACTCAAATATAAGGATTCATAAATTATAGTATGAGGTCTATTTACTTTTTAACAAAAAGAAATGTCAAAAGGTAGATTTTCATAAAATATGGTATTTGTATCTGGTTTCCATTATAAAAAAATGCAAGTAAAGTTAATCTTGTGCTGTGTAGTGTAGGCTTCTTTTAATATATAATAGTTTTTATTTATTCTCTTAATTTTTATCTTTAGCTGTGCCAGCTGCACCAGGAGCTCCTGAACCAGTGGACTGGAGCCAGAATCATGTAGATCTTATTTGGAAAGAACCTGTCAGTGATGGTGGTTCTCCAATTACTGGTTATATAATTGAAAAGAAGGACAAGTACAGGTATTGTTTTTAAATTAATAATTTTTCCAAATTTTATTAACATAACATAATATTTTTATTAACATAACTTGATATTAAAGAACTAAATAGAACTTGCTATTACATGGTTTTGAAGCATCATTATAAACATGTAAACATTCAAAATCATTTTTATACATCATCTTCCACACAGATATCTCATGCCTCATAACATAAACTCCAATATTTTACCACACATATAGATATCTACATCTCTTAGAAAGACTTGTCCTAAAATTACATACTATACATACACTATTTTTAATTTAAGTCTGGTTAACTTATTTCACTTAATTTATAAGGGCATCTATCTATTAATTTTGAAGACATATCCAGAAACTATTCTCTCAAGAAAATAGGAATTTTGGTAAACAAATTACTTTCCTACATTCAATTTATAGTAGACAAATTGAAATATAAAGGAGATACTAAGAATTCCAAGAAGAAATATGATAAACAGAAGCTGAATGAAAAAGAAGAGCATTTAATTGCGAGAGAGATTGAGAACAAAAACCTTGAGCATGCCACATCTGCAATCTATAGTTGAAACCATGATTCGAAAAACTGTAAGTGCCTCTGTTATTTGAAGAGTGCTGTACAGACACAAATATTGCAGAAGAGTTTCCTGAGAGAGGCCTTGTGTTAGTAGGAAGAACAGGGCAGATAGATTAAGCTTCCCCCCTAATGAATACATGAGAAAATGACAACTATTCAAATAAATGAGAAAAGAAGAATATTTTAGGTTCAGATGGCATCCACAGACTGGAGACAAACACCAAAAATGAAGTTGCAAACATACTTCCCATGGGGAAGCATGAAGGTGGGTCGGTCATGTTTTTGAGGTGTATGTCATCAAAAGGAATTGGAAATATTCATTTTATTGTAGGCATAATGGACAAACATATATTGTCTATAATAACATCAGAAGAAATTTGAAGGCAAGAGCTGTAAAATTGGATGTTGCCATTTTACATGTTCAGGGTATGAAACTAATAGTAAGCATACTGCAGAAATTAATGAAGAGTGGTAACTGTGGAATGTCCCAAAACAACTTAAAATGCCAGCATAGCCTCTGGAATTAAACCCCATTGAACATCTTTTAGTAATTTTGAAGAGGAAAGTTCATAAATAGAACGTATCTTGCAAAGAGCAGAGCTCAATAGTAAAAAATGAATGAAACATGCATGCAAACATGCAATAGCCTCTTTAGATCTTTGCAATGGGGATTCCTTGCTGTCATTAAATCAAAAGGATATCCAACAAAATATTAGACACTTTCTTTTTGTTAAAATATTCCCTTGAAATTATTCAAGTGTATGAATGGAAATGTCATTTTCCCCCACTTTTTTGTTGCAATATTGTGTATTTTATGTTTTAAGTTAATGCAAGACTGATTTTTATGTTTTATCTCTATCAAGATTGACATTTAAAAGAAAAAAAATTTTCTTTCAAAACTTTCACCTGATATTTTATTTTATTGTGTTCACACCACACTAGTACAAATAAAAATGGTACATATTTTACATGATGCTCTCCATTTTCTATACCATATTGAATTTGTGGGTGTACAGTTCCATAGTATGTAGCTTTAGACACATTGCATCTATAATATTTTCATTTAATATTATCATCATTCATCATGATGAAAATCTGGTTTTTAATAGAAAACAGTTATATTATAGATGCCATCTATAATATTTTCATTTAATATTATCATCATTCATCATGATGATAATCTTTATTGCTACTAATGAATGCTGTGTCATCTGCATATGAGATAAGTTTATTATGTGATGAGGGATTGTCATGTCATTCACATATAATAGGAATAACAATGGTCTCAATAAAATTCCCTGTGGAAACTCTTGGCCTATTTACTGTAGATTTAGATTTAATTTAATCACTTCAGATGGTCACAAAAGAAATGAGTACCTTTCTTGCAACCATATCTCTATCATAAAATATTTCTTTAAAACTTCCAAGATTCTGAAATAATCTAGTACCATTATGGGAATATGTTAAAGATTTGTATTCTATTAAAAATCAGCAAGGGACAATATTTTGCTAGCAGTTTTAATTGTAATGTTGTTTGAACTAGGAGCAATTGATTGCTTAATGAGACTTGAGCTCATTATTGAAAATATTAATTTTGAATAGTTAATAATAATTTCATATAATGGAATTTTTTTTTATCATTATGAAGTTGAAGAGTTTTAATATGAAGTTTATCTGTACTATTAAATACCAACAAAAATTTTAACATGATTTCAGCATGATGTGGGAAAAAGCCTTGGAAACTGAAACATCTACCCCTCAGGCTGTGTTGCATGGACTAATTGAAGGCAATGAATACCAGTTTCGTGTCATTGCTGTCAACAAAGCTGGTCAAAGTGAACCTAGTGATGCCAGCAAGAATTTCATTGCCAAACCAAGATTTTGTACGTTATTTATTCTCAATGTTATTTTTTAAATTATCTTAGCGTGTCTTATTGTATTAAGTTGTTGTTGTTTTTTTTTCTGAGTTTTATTTTTGCAAACTAGAGAAACAGTTATTAGTATTCTACGGCATTACAAGTGTCTTACTTCAGAAATTGTATAATCATCGTAGTTCGCCCATATCTAATTTAAAATTTTGTTGTCATTATTTTGATTTTTATCTCATTTTGATCTTAGTAATGAACTTATAATACATGTTTCTTACATTTACAGTGGCACCCAGAATCGATCGACGCAATTTGCGTGATGTTACATTGTCTGTTGGTTCAACACTTAAGTTCGATGTTAATATCACTGGTGAACCTCCACCATCTGTTGAATGGCGTTTCGGAAGCATTCCACTCCGGTATGTAGTGCTTTTCAAAAACAGACCTTTCATATAATCTGTAAGATACATGAATAATTTCTATGACTTTTATAAATTTCCAGATCTTCAAAGAGCATACAAGTGGATAATGTAGATTACAACAGTAAATTAGTCATACGACCAGTGCAACGTGGTGACTCTGGAGAATATGTCATTACTGCTTCAAATTCTTCTGGTAAAGATTCTGTGACAGTCACTGTGACTGTTACTGACAAGCCAACACCTCCTGAAGGACCATTACAGGTATGCTTTGGTGTTTATGAGCTGCTTTTGAGAATTTAAGTAGACTACTTCAGAAAATTCCACATTAATGATTTTATTCATTATTGTTAAATCTTATCTAAATTATTAATCCAAATCTCGTTTACAAATTCATTTCAGTATCACACTGTTTCAATAATTATTCTGAGTATTTTGATTTCATTTCTGTAAATAGTTGTAGCAGTAGTAGAACAGTAATACTTTGATTATGTGCAATACTTAGTGATCCCTAGGGATATTCTCAGCAACCTATACTTCAAAATGTCTCTTTCTTTTTTGACATCTTTATTAAATTTCTCCTTCCTTTTCTGCCTTGTGCCCTATTCATTTGCTTGTATCCATGTCAAATAGTTACTTCTTTGATTTCTTCATGCCATCTCATTTTCCTTCTTCCCTGACTCCTAGTTCCATCCATTATTCCTAACATTGTGTCCCTTCTCCAATGACTCGGTTTTTGCAATATTCTAAATAGTGATAATTTTTGTCTGATGGCTCTGCTTTCCAAAAACTAACTAGGTTTCACCTCTTTCAGTAGAGATAATTCCTATGTCCAATGAATTTTCAATAATTTCACCAATTTCAATAATTCAATAACACTACTTTTCGAAGGCACCTTTTTTTTCTTTTATCCATATATCTTAGGATACATGTCTCAGAGCCATATAATACAATAAGAAATAGTATTTGTATTAACTGATACTGTTACGCAGAGTCTTTGATACATTTATTAACCTTTCTCACACCTGCCTTTCCCCAACTGATTCATTTTATTTCTTTAGTCCAGTGTCCATCTTTTGTTTTTAATTATCCTAGAAAATTACTTTGTTTTTATTTCTTCTGAAAAAGTACTAGTACAAAATTTCACTTTTTACTTTCTTTTCTTATTTTTTTATTATTTTTTATAATTTACTACGAAACATATCTATTTGAATTTGTGTTTAAAATGTGACTCAATTTAAATGTGAATTTTGTTTATTGCTTATCTGTCTACACATAATTGCTCTGAACAAATTTATTTCTACACAAAAATTTTATTATATTTTTTATTCCTTTAGTTTTATTTTAATTTTTTCTTCTTTTTAGATATCTGATGTTCATAAGGAAGGTTGTAAACTGAAGTGGAAGAGACCAAAAGATGATGGTGGCACTCCTATTGAGTACTATCAGGTTGAGAAACAAGATCCAGAAACTGGACTCTGGGTACCATGTGGACGCTCAACTGAACCAGGTAAGAAAATAAAATACGTGCATTTATCTATTTTTCTCCCCCTTAGCATTAAGGGGGGGGGAAACAATACATACAGTTGTCATACAGTTTTGTATAAATTGAAAAAGAATCTCCTACATAGCAAGATCATCATTTTTTTTTTTTATTGAAATGAATATGAGAATAATCTGTCTGTTGGTGAAATGGTATCTGTTGGTTTAAGGTTCTGTGAGGCTCATGGCACTAAAACATGGGGCCTTGATGATTATATATTTATCAAAATTGAGATGTAAAGTAAAAGACAGAATGAGAGCAAGTGAGACTAAGTGAGAATAATGAATACTAAATTCAAATAGGCATATTTCCTGTGTGAGTAAAGTTGGGAATTAAGGAGGGAATTATTGTTTTGGATGAATCATTTACCCAATTTAGCAATTGCAAAATAATCTATTGTTTCTGAAATGTTCATTCAATGCGTATTATTGATATTTATCATGTGATGAGTTGAAGAAACTACACGAACAAATGCTACATATGCCTCTGTGTTAAGTTGGTCCAAGTGAAATGTATAATTATAAGACAAAATTTTATCTTTATTCTAGCCTCATTTCTCCAGCATTTGCATGTTTGTCTTGTAACATTATTAATGCATTAAAAAAAAATATTTCTATATACGAGCAGAATTGATTCTTAAAACGAATCTTTGTACTGTTGAATAGATAACCACAAATGCTGCTCTTGATTAGACATATCCTCTGTATTTATTCAATAAGTCCTCATAACATTTGGAATTTTCCCATTAGCTATGGAAGTAACTGGATTAACACCAGGGAAAGAATATAAATTCCGAGTTGCTGCAGTGAATGCTGAAGGTGAATCAGAACCATTGGTGGCTGACCAGACTATTGTTGCCAAGAATCCATTTGGTAAGTGATTTTATATTGTTGTGAGATTGTGTGAGTTATTGCTTGTTTTCAAATTAAAAACAACTATGGAAGTTTGAGCATAAATTTTTAATTTGAAAGGGGAATAATTTACATTAACTTCAGTCTATATTTTCAGACTTTTATGAAAATAATTTTCTAATTTTATCTTTCCATATTCATGTGGTATCAAAAGTTTTTCACAATGCAATATAATTCAATTTTTTGTGAAAAATGTAATGTTTTAAAAATTACATTTCTTCGTTTCAATGCCCAAAGTTCTTTGATTCAAAGTACAAAAATACATCTTGATTTAAAGAATTCACCAAAATAAGGGCTTTAAACTGTCTTATTAATTTTGCAATGTTTTTTTAGTTTTTTAGTATTATTACCAAAAAGCTGAACTTTTGAAAAGCAATTTTTACAAAAAAATTTAAAATTTTGAGTAATTTTTGTTTACATGAATCAATTATACTTTCTAATAAAATTGTTCTTAAGGACAAATTTTAAATGAAACCTGGGAGTTGTATAATTTAACAAATAAGAAAAAAAATGTTAATTTTGTTAAAATAAAATATCTTTCAAATAATTATTACAAAAGGTGAGTGAAACAATTCCATTCTTAAAAATGTGTTCTAAATACTACATTCTGCAGTTTTTGCTATGTTCATAATATTTTAAGAATTATATTAATAGAGGGGAGAAATGACTTATGTGCTTAGTTTTGAGAATCACTTCAAGTCAAAGGAACACTGTTAAAAAAAAAACAATTCTAGAATCTTATAATTTTGGAGGTTTTCACTTGAAGCAAATGTTACCTGAATGTTGATCTGCTTCCTTATGAACTCTTCTCTCTTGTTGAAAGTAATAAAGGTTTAATGTGTAAAATTATTCACTTTTCTTTAGAATCTCTCATACATCTTGAAGCTAAATATTTTTACTTTTCTTGCTTACTGTCCTGTGGAAAGTGGTGATTTTTTGTCAGAAAAATTCTTATTTTTGAGTCCCAATATTAAAGAAGTGGATAAATCTTGTTCCTATAAGTAGAAAATTCCTTCTTTTAAGATGGTGTGTCATCACAATCCATTTTTTGTGAATCCTTGATACAGAAAAATTGATTAATGGCAAAATGTGTCAGTTCATCCATTTGTTCCAATGGTAGCACCAATGATAGCACCTAAACCATTCAGACCATTTTCTTCAAAATTGATATATCCAGAATCAATCTGGGCAAATTCAAGGCCCTGTGAATTGAAAATGAATATTTTGATTGTTGAGGTTCTTTACATTTGATTTTCAGCTTTAACATTTTCAAAATTATCTCAAAAATGCCTCTAAATTTTTTAATTAAATGTTTTCTTCAAATAGAGCAAAGGATGCTTTAAAAAAATGGTGCAGGTCTCATTTTCGATGAACTCTGAATTATTGAAAATTGCAAAGGTCCAAAATATTCATCTTTCTACAATCACAATATTGTAAATAAAGTTTTTTCTCTTTAATGAAATCTGTGCTTCAAAGACACGATAATGAGCGATTTTCCCATAATTTTGCATGAAATATACATCTTTTTTCGAACAATTATTTTCCTAAAAATGGCTCCAGATGTTTTCTTTCCTTTTCTTCTCAAGTAGAGTAAAGTATGCTTATAAAAATGATGCAGGTCCCTTTCTTCAGTGAACTATGTATTTTGGAAATTGCAAAAACATTACCATCGCAAAACTATAATACTGACTTTCTTAATTAAATTTATTCTTAAAAGTTAGATCTTTAAACAAGATAATGTACAATGTTTTGAAACTTGTTAGTGTTTGTGTAATTTTTGTTTGAAAAAAGGGGAATTTGTAAACAATTATTTTCTCAAAAATTTCCCTGCTCCTAATTTCCTCAAATAGAGTAAGGGATGCTCAAAAAACTGGTACAGGTGTCATTTTTGTTGAACAGCTAATTTTGGACAATTGCGAAAGTTACAAATAATACACAAGTAGGTGCTGTTGTAGCACCATTAGTTTTCGTAATCTAATCAATTCATAAATATTAGTACTTTCAACTATTCCATTTACAATTTATTCAAAATATTAATGGTTTCCACATGATTTTAAATCACATCATGTCATTTTTTTAAAAAATATCAAATTATGACTTTCTCACAAATTAACATAAAATTTTGTTTATTCTTATGGTGCAGATACATGACAATGCACTGTATCAAATGACATTGAAGGAAATCTGATTTTAGTTTTAAAAAACACACATCTTTAATTTTTTTAATCTCTTGGGCTCTGTTAATTTACGTTACAAATTTATTATGTGATTTAAAACATGTTGAAACATATTCAAATGATCTCCTTAGACGTTTATTGACGTCTCATTTTTCAAGTATAAATACACTCTAAATAGTGAATTTTTAAAAACATTCAAAGGGCATTTTATAAAAGCTTGCTGTATTTTTTCTCCAAAATGTTCATGTAAAAAGAATTTGTGCTCTTCTATGATAGTCCAATAATCTCGTTTTGATTAATCGAAAAAATGTGTTTTTCGATCCAACATAGTAAAAACAATATGTACAAACAATAAAGTAATAACAGTGTCTATTACTTTCTACCACAAAAAGTAAGTCATTTTATTGATTGAAATGTTCTCTAAATATTGGGTTCTACAAAATTTTGTGTTTTGTTTGTGAAAGGAAAATGTTTATTTGTGGGTAGAGGTACTAAAGCCTTAGAGCATTGGTATTATGACAGTAAATTTTGTTGAATGTCATCGAGATGTAAATATGCAGGACTGCTTAATCAATTGTTGCCCATGTATTTAGAGAAAAGGTCAATTTTCATTAAAATGGGTGCCTAAGAAATGAATATAATGTGCAGTCTGGCTGAAATACTAGTTGGCCCTAGTATATATGTTATAAAATAACAATTGCATATTTTCTTAACTGATTCAAATGATATGAGAGAATCTGTGCTGTGTTGTAGCACCGCTGGGTTAACTTGACAATTTTGGGTGATCATAATATGTACAGTAAGAGAATGCTTTTTGTGTTGTAGTTTTTATGGAGAACTAGTTGAGTTAAAAATGTATTTGCAGGCAATGACCCAAAATTACATAATTAAACAAAATCAGTTAACAATTTGTCTTTGATTAAATTTACCAAAGAGGTTACAGGAGTTGTGTAAAGATCAAAATCAGAATTATGTACCGCAATACAAACATATATAGAATGTACATTCTGCTATATTCTCCATAAAGGAGCATTCAACCATTTGTGTGTGTGTGTGTGTGTGTGTGTGTGTGTGTATGTATTTATGAAAATTAGAATTAATAAAGGATGTGACCCTTGTGGCATGCTTGATTTTACATCAATTGCTCGAAAAATGAATGATTTACATTTAACATACTGGAATCTGCGAGTTAAGTACATTTTTATCTGTGCAAGAAAAGTACCATGAATACGAATGTATTGAACAATAAACAGAGAGACAAACTGTATCTAAAGTCTTTTGAAAGTCAGTGTAAATAGTATCTGTTTGCTCATTATTGTTTAAGTTTGCAAGAACTACACATTAAAAAAATTAAAGATTTGTACTGATAGATTGCTTGCGCCTAAATCCATTTTGTTCATCTAACAGTATATGTGAAATAATATTATAAATTTGTTCAGTTATCACAGATTCAAAAAGCTTGGGCATTGTACTTTGGGTTGAGGTTGGTCTGAAGTTACAAACATCTGAACAGCCACTTGATTTGTGGATAGGGGTAATAAAACTAGACTTGCAGAAATGTGGGAATGATCCTTCTTGTAGGTATTTGCAAAACAAAGCATTTAAAATAGAGGGTACTGTTAGCAATTAATTTTTTCAAGATTGGTGAAATTAAATCAGGTCCAACACCTTTCTTCACATTTAACATTTTAAATCACAGATTAAATATGAAGTTGTGAACTGTCCGTACTACCCAAGTTACCAATAGATTCAATTCCAATGTACTAATTTTCAGACATATTATCAGATTCAAAATAGTTTGCAAGAATGTTTAGGATCTCTTGCCCAATATGAGCATTTAAGTTTTGAAAATTCATCATGTTTGGTAGATCAGTCACACCACTAGTAAAGTTTGCAAATTTCCAGAAAGACTTCAGGTTTTGTTTAATTGAATTTTCAGTATTAACAATGTACTTTCTATAATCTCCCTTATTCTTATTTTTACAAATTGTAAGTAAATTTGAAAAACTATCATAATCAGAAGTATTTATAGTTATTTTATAAGTTTTATTGAATTTTTTGATGTGAAGTCTTGTATAAAGAGTAACACAAATATTTCTTTTCTATTGCTCTTTGGTTTTTGGCTTCATCTGCACCTCATTAATATTTCAAAAATTGCCTTGTTAAAAAGGTCCTTTTTTTCAATAATTTGTTTATTTTCTTGGTACAGATGAACCAGGAAAACCAGGAGATCTCAAGGCTACTGACTGGGACAAGGATCATGTGGATCTCAAGTGGACTCCACCAAAAGATGATGGAGGTTCTCCTATTACTGGATACATTGTAGAGAAGAAGGATAAATATGGTCAATGGGAAAAAGCTCTTGAAGTTCCTGCTAATCAGCTTACCGCCACTGTCCCAGATCTCATTGAAGGTCAGCCATATGAATTCCGTGTACGAGCAGTGAATGCTGCAGGTCCTGGAGAAGCTTCTGATGCTACACCTACGATTATTGCCAAACCCAGAAACTTGGCACCCAAGATTGACCGCACAAACCTCATTGAAGTTCGAATTAAGGCTGGACAGAACTTTGGATTTGATGTCAAAGTATCTGGAGAGCCTCCTCCAACAACTAAATGGCAACTTCGTGGCAAGGAAATTAAGTCATCTGATCGTATAAAAGTTCAACACGCTGACTACAATACAAAATTAAATGTTCGAATGGCCACTCGAGCAGAATCTGGAAAATACACAATTACTGCTGAAAATATTAATGGCAAAGATGTGGCAGAGGTGGATGTAATCGTATTAGGTGAGTTTGTTTTACTACATTAAAACAGTATGTTACACTCATAAAATATAATGTTTGAAAACTTTCTTATTTTTATGAATCAGATAAACCTAGTCCACCTGGAGGTCCTTTGAAAGTATCAGATGTACATGCAGAAGGTGCCAAACTCAGCTGGAATCCTCCTGCTGATGATGGAGGTCAACCCATTGAGAAATACGTTGTTGAGAAAATGGATGAAGCAACAGGTAAATAAAATAAGTTAATAATAAAAACTTAACAATTTATTTGTTGATTCTAACCAATATTGGTTATATGTAATATCAGAGTTGTATAAAAATGTTCATTCAGGGAGAAAACCATGTATTTTTATTCATAATTGATTTCACATAATCTGACATATTCAATTTATTAAAAAATATATGATAATTTCAGGTCGTTGGGTCCCTGCTGGAGAGACCACTGGCCCAGTAACTAATTTAGAAGTAGATGGATTAATTCCTGGACACAAGTACAAGTTCAGAGTGCGTGCAGTTAATAAACAAGGAAAATCTGATCCTCTGCATACTGCACAAGCCATAGAAGCCAAAAATCCATTTGGTAATAATTTTGAAATTACTAGGTTTACTATCATTTTATAACTGATAAACTTTCTTAAATTAATTTTATTTTAAGGAACATTTTTACCTTGACACATGTGAATATATTTGGCAAAGTATTTGTATTGAGATGATATTTTTGTTGAAAAAAAAACAAACAACAATAACATATTATAAGTTGCCAATTTAGGCATCTCAATTGCATGAAATTTTGTAATTGATAACTTATTATTCCTTTTGTGTTCTTTTATGAGTGATGTGTATCGTTTTATAATTATTTAGATGAACCCAGCAAACCTGGTACTCCTGAAATCAGAGATTATGACAAGGACTTTGTTGAATTACAATGGACTAGGCCTGAATCCGATGGAGGATCTCCAATTATTGGCTACATCATTGAAAAGAAAGACAAATTTAGGTATTATCATTTGAAATATCTTCTTTTGTTGATACTGTCTATAAAACAGTGGGAGTTCACTTCTTTTGAAGAAATTGTTACATATTCTATCCTTGTTTTCTTTCTTAGTCCTTCGTGGGAAAAGTGTGCAGATGTGGAAGGAGATGTAACTACAGGAAAAGTACCAGACTTAATTGAAGGCAACCAATATCAGTTCCGAGTTAGAGCTGTGAACAAAGCTGGACCTGGAGAACCAAGTGATGCATCCAAACAGCACACAGCTAGACCTAAGAACTGTAAGTTGCATGCATTTAATTCTTGTTTATTAAAAATGTTCTTGTCTAATATGTGTGTGTGTGTGTGTGTGTGTATAGATACACACACATTTCTGGAGGGGGGGGGGTAAATTACACATTTATGTAAACAAAATTAAGAAGTGCGTCATGATATAGAAAAGTTACACTATTATAAAGAGGATTTATCTCAACATTTTTGCCCAGTGGACTGGCAGAAAACTGAACAAAAATTTGCTGATCTAGAAAGACTTCCATACAATCAGGGACATATTTACGAATTTTGTCACCTGAAATATTATTCAAAGCCAGTTATCATCATAATTATGACAGATACATGACATGAAATTTTCCAAAACAGTTGTTAAGTTGAATATTTATATTGATGCTTTTCTTAATTTTTAATAATCCATTGGTCATGTTAAAGTATCAGTAATAAATGTTTTGTTCAGAACATTCCATATCTTTTGAGATAAGTAAGAAAAGAAGTTAAATAAATACACGAGGATACTGGGAAAGAAGTCACACAAAAGTGTAATTCTCCAACAGAAGTCAATTGGCAGAAGATAAGGAAGAAATGCCAGAAAGGAACAAGAGAAACAGAAACATGAAGAGGGCAAAAGTTAGGCTACATTTCCTGCAAAATTACAAAAAAGATTAAATAACAATCTTATAATTAATATTAATGAACTTGGGGTCCTGTTGTTTTAAATAACAACTTTCTTTCAATTTTCTTTTATGTATAGCGTTTTTTCTTTACACATTGCATGTGAATTTTGTTATTTATTGTATAATTTTCATTGTGTGTTTATATTACAGTGGCACCTTACATTGATCGCAACGCACTTCTTGATGTAAAGATTCGAGCTGGTCAGAACTTTGACTTTGATGTACCAGTTATTGGTGAACCTCCTCCATCAAAAGAATGGACTCTTAAAGGAAATACTGTCATTAATACTGACAGAGTAAAAGTAGTAAATGAAGATTATAACACAAAACTTCGTGTTATTGATGCTAAAAGAAGTGACAGTGGCAAATATACAATTACTGCAAAGAACATAAATGGAGTTGACAGTGCTACAGTAAATGTCACTGTTCTTGGTAAGAACACCTTTCTTTTTGGTGGGGTTACTTTTCCACTAAATGAATTATTTTATAAATTGATGTTTCTGAATTTTTGATGAGAAGCTTATGAAGTAATTTTTATATTAGTGATGTGTTAATCTTTCATTATTTAATTTAAAGCAACTTCCTTAACTCAATGGAAAAAAAACTGTAGATGCTTAATTTGTCTTTGTTATCCATAACAAAAGTAATATTCACTATCAAATTTCTTTCCAGATGTTCCTTTGCCCCCTGAGGGTCCTCTTAAACCAGACAACATCACAAAATCATCCTGCACACTTTATTGGAGACCACCTAAGGATGATGGTGGTTCTGAGATTATCCATTATGCTGTAGAAAAGCTTGACACAGAGAATATGCGTTGGGTGCCTGTAGCAGAAGTTACTGGCACATCTGTCAGGTAGGCTTTCAAACTTTGCATCTCAGTTACATTTGGATTAATTTGTACATATTTATAAACACACATGGTCTTGACAAAAAAATGGTTCTAAAATGTTTTGCCCAAAATATTGATAATTAGTGAGTTAATGTAATGTGTATAGAATTTATCTTCAAGTTGTGTTAAGTTCCTTCATCAAAATAAATAATTTTCTCTTTATTTTCTTTTAAGTTCAAAATCTGTAGATGTAAACTGTTCCATTCATTTATGTGATTTTGGTTATATGTTGTAAACAATTTAGTAGTTAATAAATTTCTTCACTTGTAGAGTTGATCATCTAATTGAAGGCCATGATTATAACTTCCGAGTTCGTGCTGTTAACAAACAAGGCGAGTCCTTGCCTCTGACTGGCCAGCAACCAATAACAGCGAAAGATCCATACAGTAAACCTGATAAACCTGGCACTCCAGTTCCTGTTGGTATGTAGGATATTTCTCAATTGATTTATTGAACTATTTTTATTACACCACAGTTTTCAATTAATTAGCACTTTTTTATTATTTCTATAGATTGGGATAAGGACCATGTTGATTTAGAATGGACTGCACCCAAGAAAGATGGTGGTTCTCCAATTACTGGATACATTATTGAGAAGAGAACTAAATTTGGGTACTACCAAAATCAATTTTTTAAAGAAAAGTCTATTAGACTTTATAAAAATGAATAATATGAATGATGTTAATGATCCTTTACAGACCTTGGGAGAAAGCAGCAGAAATCCGTGGTAACCAAACCAAAGGAACAGCACCAAATCTGACTGAAGGAGAGGAATATGAATTTAGAGTAATTGCTGTGAATAAAGGAGGTCCAGGCGAGCCTAGTGAGCCATCTGCTTCAGTAATAGCGAAACCAAGATTCCGTGAGTAAACCTTCTCCACAAGTCCAAATACATTTAATTTCTCATTACATCCTCAATTAAAGTATTTGTAAGTATATCCTTTTTAAACTTTTAAAATGTAATTCATTGATTTTGATTGCAGAGGCACCAACCTTTGATAAGTCATTGTTGCAAGATCTGGTTGTGCGTGCTGGCCAGAAAATCAACTACACTATCCCCATTGAGGCTTCTCCTAAACCAACTGCTAAGTGGACTGTCAATAATAAACCTGTTGAACCTGGGACACGAGCTGATATTCATACCACACAAAATCAGACTGTATTTGAAATTCTTTTCTCTGTGCGATCAGATACAGGCCGATACACACTTACATTGGAAAACAAATTTGGCCAATGTTCAGCTTCAGCAAATGTGACAGTTTTGGGTAAGATTTTTGTGATAATTAAAGTTCTTAGAACTGATTTTTTTGTTTCTTCTTTAAATAATTTTAATATATAAAATAGGGATAACTTGGAGTTGTAGAGCAAGAGTAATATCGGTAACATCTTAGGTAAAACAACTAGATTTGACATCAACTTGACTGTTCAGGAGACGCCATGTCGTAGGCACAGATGCCAATGTTTTGGCCATCATGTGGCGGCCTTCCTCAGGGCCAAATGCTGTGGTTTGAGGAAGGTCACAGCATCTGTGCCTAGGACATGTTGTCCTTCATTATATTTCAAAATTCATCATATTTTGGGAATTTTAAAAGACAAATCTATGGACAATGTCTGATATGAAAATGATAATGTTTTACAGATCGACCTGGCCCACCAGAGGGACCACTTATTGTAAGTAATGTTACCAAAGAGAGTGCTCGTCTGACATGGAAACCACCATTGGATGATGGAGGCTGTCCCATTTTGCATTATGTGGTGGAAAAAATGGATGTTTCTCGTGGAACCTGGGCTGATGCTGGCATGTCTACTTCACTTTCTCATGAAGTGACAAGATTGGTCCATCGCAAAGAATATCTTTTCAGAGTTAAGGCTGTTAATACAGTTGGAGAATCAGATGCCTTGGAAACCACCAAGAGCATTATTGCTAAGAATGAATTTGGTTAGTGACACTATCTTAAAATAATAGTAATAATATAAATTACTTGTAGCCAGAAAATACCCATTTAAATCATCTATACATTGGTGTTATGCAATAATTACACAGACTTTTTATGTATCTAGAGATTGGGACTAACTCCAATATGTTCTTGGTATTTTTTATACCAACCAAATCCAAATCCAAATTTACACTTCATTTATCCCGTATGACTTGTAATACTTAACTTACTTTCGTATCAGACAGAAATTGGCCATCTTTACAGGAGTTTTGGAAATCTAGAAATATCTTTTTAAAATGGTAAAAAAATAACTGCTATTGTTACTGAAATTGTTAACAAAAATTCAAGTGCACATGTTCTTGTTGAAATGCCACGTGTTGTGTCATTGCAGTTTGTAATAATGTCTGACATTCTTTTTATACTGTGTTACAAATTTTAGTCATTATTCTCTGAACCTCCTTTCATTGTTCTATTGCATTATTGCATTATGTTTTGTTTTCTGAAGTCACTAATAGTAATATAGTTACAAATAATGCAATTTTTATCAGTCATAGAAAGCATCTTCAATTTATATGAGAGTGATATTTGCTTCATACCTTCTTCTTGACACAGATGAACCAGATGCACCTGGTAAACCAGCTGTTACTGACTGGGACAAAGATCATGTTGACCTTGAATGGATTCCTCCTAAAAATGATGGTGGGTCTCCAGTAACTGGATACATTATTCAAAAGAAGGAGAAAGGCAGTCCTTACTGGGTTAATGCTGTGCACGTTCCAGCCAATCAAACCAATGTGAGTATTCTATAAATTTAATAAACCATAAATATCATTTAAAGCAATTTCCATTCTCATAGATAATCGATACTGAGGAACAAACGAGACATTTTTATTTTTCTACTAGTTGAAAGTAGGGATTGCACATGCTGATTGAAAAAATAAATTAAAATTTGCTGTTCTGGGTACTATTTTTTATGGAAATCATATTCAAATTTTCACTAAAAAAATTGTTGAAGTTCTACAATTTTTGGATTCAAAAATTAATTTTACAATGTCATTGTGTGCATTTCATTCAATTTATTGATTCCTAAATAAGAATATAATAATAACTGAAGTTAGTATTTTATTAAGGCAAAACTATATTTTTTCACCTTAATGAAAAATTTTAAAAAACACATTCTTAAAAGAAATTTTTTAAACACCTTTCTTTGCTGCAGGATTCCTCAGTGTTACATTAAATAAAGGTTGTTTTAAAAAAAGAGTTCAATATCAAAAATTCTTCATTAAAATTAAAATTGAGTTACATTCTTTGAATAATTTGAAAGCTTTAATTATTTTTGACTAGGGGCAGATATTGATGACCTAAAACATCACCAAAAATGATCAATAAAATGCTCTCAAAATGTTTTAAAAATGCCCAAAAAGCAAAGAAAAATGTCATAAAATATTTTAACAAAACCAAGGTGAACAACTCAAGATGTTGGATATGTTACTGATGTAATCGAGGCTTCTTCCTTTTGTGCAAGTGAACTCAGTTTGCAATCTTTTGGTTGGCCTGGACCAGGAAATTTCTGTCTTTAGTTATAGTGAAATCTGCTGAACTGACACTGCTGCTGATAGGCATCACAGGAACCTTAGATTACATACTTGCAGATATTGACATTACAATTTCTGAGCGAAGAAATAAAATAGGCTACTCAGGAATTCTGTGAAATACATTTGTTACATGTTGTAAATATTATTTGAAGCCAGTACCATTAAAATTATATTATTATTGATGAAATCCCCAAAAAATACTTTAAAATGATAAAAAAGGTTAAATGTGACTTTCTAGTTGAAATCAAAGAAAAATGCAAAAAAGCTATATAAAAATGGGTCATTTCATTTTGTCATAACATTAAATTAATGTCTATACCAAAAGTCATTGTTCAAAAGAGAAAAGAAAAAAAAATGACATTTCATTAAAATATGCCCCTACTGAAGCCATGCTACTGTATAACCATGCTACTGTGGCACGTCTCCGTGAAGGAGCAAAATATGAGTTCACAGTATGAGCTGAAAATCTGCAAGTTCGTTCAGATCCTTTTAACACCAGTATTGATGTATTATTTAACAAACAATGGCAATTATCATAAAAACTATTATTCAGTATTTTCATAATAATCGCAAAATTACAGAATATTAAAGAGATACAGAAAAGAATCATCCCTAGAATCTTTCTGAAGATCAGGAAAATGAATTGAGAAATGCATGCAAAAGCAATGCAGGTGATGCTTTAGGGAGCTGTTTTCATGTTGACTGTCAAAACCACAGATTATACACAGAAGTCTCATTTTAATCTTATTTTGCTTCTCAGGCAACCGTGCCTGATTTAACTGAAGGACAAGAGTATGAGTTCAGGGTTATTGCTACGAATGCTGCTGGACAAAGTGAGCCAAGTGAACCATCAGATACTGTTACTGCCAAGGCAAGATATTGTGAGTACTATTTTTCATTTCATTTTATTCTATACTTGATGTTTATAAATCTTTTTAATAAGTATCGCACATATGTTGGTAAATTTGCCTTTTCCTTTGATAATTATTTACAAATTTTTTCTTAACTAAAAGAAAATATGTCATCAGAGATATGTACATAATAATATGTATATAATAATATGTACATAATAATGTATAGTTTGTGAGAAGTTAACTTTTCCTGGATTTTGGGCTTAAATTTCTAAACATTTCATAAATGACTAGTACTGAACAAAACATTTTGTGTTGCATGTGTCGGTTTCTCTTATGTCATTATTTTGTTTATAAAAATGTATTTCTGTAGAATGTTTTTCCCTTTGAATTCCTACTATTATTTTTTTAATTTGCAATCATATATTTTTAATTATTACTTGAAATTGCTGGATAAGTCAATAATTTCACATCTCATATCATTCCAGTGGCTCCGAAAATCAAGACTCCTCTTAATGATGTTCGTCTCAAAGCTGGTTCTATTTTCCATGTTGATATTGATTTCATTGGAGAACCTGCCCCAGAAGTAACATGGTCTGTAGATAGTAAACCTCTGAAGACTGATGACAGAACTACAATTACATCTATTGGACACCACACTATAGTTCATACAGTGAACACAAAGCGTTCTGATAGTGGATTGTACCATCTTTTGCTTCGTAACAGTTCTGGCATGGATGAAGGATCGTTCCAATTGATTGTACTGGGTAAGATTTTAGTTGAGGATGAAAATATTTCACATTCTTTAACCTTATAAAAATTACAATCAGAATTTTTTATGAATGTGTACTGTATTATTACATGTAATTATCTACTTCTTAGATCGTCCTTCACCACCAGAAGCTCCATTAGAATATGAAGAAATCACATCATCAAGTGTTACTTTATCATGGAAACCACCTAAAGACAATGGGGGTAGTGAAATTACGTAAGTTACCTTCTACTGAAAAGAAAATGACTTCAAAATAAGATATCTTTCATTAAAATAAAGCTCATTAATAAACAGTTGGCTAAGTTGTTATTAAATGACACCAAATCTGTTTCTGCTTTAAAAATAAAAAGTTAAAATTGTGATTTTAGATTGACATTCAATATATATTTTTTCCTTCTGCAGTGGCTATGTAATTGAGAAGCGTGACTTGACACATGGTGGAGGCTGGGTTCCTGCAGTTAATTATGTCAATCCAAAGTATAACCATGCTACTGTGCCACGTCTCCTTGAAGGAACAAAATATGAGTTCAGAGTATCAGCTGAAAATCTGCAAGGTCGTTCAGATCCTCTTAACACCAGTAAACCAGTTGTGGCCAAGAACCAGTTTGGTGAGTTTCCAATATCTTGTTATCTTTCTCCAAACCTTTTAATAGAATTTTGTGATGGAAATAGAACAGTATTATAATCAAATATTGAAATGTTTCTTCTTCTGGAATAGATGTACCTGGAAGACCAGGAAAGCCGGAAGCAACTGAGTCTGATAAAGATCACATTAAGATCAAATGGACTCCACCAATTAGTAATGGTGGCTCTCCGATTTTGGGTTATGATGTTGAACGACGCGATCGAATGACTGGACGTTGGGTAAAACTCAACAAGGAGCCAACAAAGGTACACATATTATATCTGCACACATGTTAGCTTCCACTAACTTCAGCTCTAGTTTCAAAGCTTGGGAATAAAATCTTCTCTTTCTTTTTCTGCAGCACCTTGAATTCTATGATGACCATGTTCAGGAAGGTCGTCAATATGAGTATCGTGTTACAGCTATTAATGCTGCAGGTCATGGAAAACCTAGTGACACATCTGCATTGATTACTGCTAAGCCAATGAAAGGTAAATAAAAAATAATTATGATTATTTGAAGATAAAGCATATTCTTTCAACTTTAAACTTACATGGCTAATTTATGGCTATTATTTTATAAGGGAATTATTGCCAGAAATATTTAAAATTACTCTCATTAATAGTCTTACATTGGCAGAATACAAAAATTTGTTTAAAATGTTATGTTATTGACAAAATAAGTGATAAGATATATCATTACTTAAAATGCCTTGAAAACATCCTTAGTAAATGATTCATCATTGTTAGTGAGCTTATGAGAATATTAATTTGAGAAAAGAATACTATTGAGTGAAAATCAAGAACATTATCAGTAAGCAGAAACAGCAGCAGTAATTATTGAAATTCGAAATGTATGGAATGGGATATAAATGAAAGAAGAATTTTAATAAGCCCCCTAGCATATCACAATTATTTGATTGGTGGCACAATTGAAATTAGTTAAATGTGTTATTGTTTTCAATAAAATATTTTTCAAGTTAAACTAGATTTGATATTTTTAAAAAGCTTAGTTAAATAATTTGTCTTGGTTAAAAATATAACATACGGATATTATTTTATAGAAAAATCATACTTTGGAAAATTCTTGTGTTTTTAAACAAACCCATTACTCATATGGTTGTCTTTATAAAGCGATTCAGGGACCAATGCTATTGTGATATTAAATAATCTTAATCCAAAAATCAATATTTTTTCAGGAGAACACAAATATTTTAGTGCTAATAAGATAGTGACGTTTATTTCTCAAGAATATATTATATATTATAACGTATGATTTTCAGTACAAGTCCAAATAATTCAACATAAAATCTAAAATTTGAAGACAAAAATACATAATTTCTATTCCTTTTAATTCTTTTACAGAAAAACCCAAATTGTACTTGGATGGACTTATTGGAAAGAAAATCAAAGTTCGTGCTGGTGAACCAATCAATATTCAAATTCCTCTGTCTGGAGCACCTATTCCAACAATTGACTGGACAAAGAATACAACAAGATTACCAGAGTCCAATAGGATTTCAGTAAGTTGCAATCTTATACTCAAATAACTTTCAGGAAAGGAAGTATGAAAATATTGTAACTGTTCTAAGGTTTTGAAAAGTTCTACATGAATGTCTTTCAATATTAATCGGGAAATAAATGGGGATGTTTTTTCATTTTTTATTAACATAAATATAATCAAAATAAAATAAATATTAATCAAAATAAATATATCTAGATGAACACTACAAGCGACAGCACTCAACTTCGAATTGAGGCTTCAACACGAAAAGATTCAGGCAAATACACTATTACAGCCAAGAATGACTATGGTAGAGATTCAGCAGACATAGAAGTAATTGTAGTTGACAAACCTGGAGCACCCAAAGGACCATTGCAGTACACAGCAACAACCCAAGATAGTGTGTCCTTGGCTTGGAATCCTCCAAGTGATGATGGTGGTGGTGATATTCAAGGTATTTCCATTTTGACACTTTTCTATTTAATAACACACTTAAGGTGGTTGAAACTAAAGTTAACTTTTAAAAATTCCTGTATGTTTCAGTTTTTTATTATGTGTACATAACTATATATCTACAATATTTTGTCTAAATTATATCAATAAAACTTGTATACGTTAATAACTTTGATTGAATGCCTTCAATTTAATTTCAGGTTATGTTATCGAAATGGCTGAATACGGTTCAGATAACTGGAAGCAGGTCCCAGGATTCTGTCCAAAACCATCATTCACTGTGAAAGGTCTCACTGAAGGAAAACGTTATGTATTCCGAGTAAGAGCAGAAAATATTTATGGTTTGTCTGAGCCACTGGAAGGAAAACCTGTTGTTGCAAAGAGTCCATTTGACCCACCAGATGCTCCTGGTCAACCAGAAATTACAGCTTATAGTCCTAATAATTGTAGTCTTACTTGGACACCTCCAACAAGCACAGGAGGAAAGCCCATTACAGGTACATTTCTTAGCTCTTTGCTCAATATTACAATTAAATAATTAGTGCATCAGTGAAGAAAGATACTTTATTTTAAATATGATGTTATGTGAAATTTAAAAAATGTACACCAATATTTAAAAGAACAGAACAACATTTACAGGAGATGAAAAAGAAAATTAACAACCAAACTTTTCACGAGTTCTTCCCAGAGGAAACCTAACTTGTCTTATGTATCATAACATTAACTCATTTCATATTTAACATTTTATTTTCAAGTTATTTTAACCTATTTTTATTTTTCAAGTTTGTAAAATTTGATTGGCTGTTGTTTTTTCATCTTTTTGTCAGTTTTGTTGATCATTATTGGTATATTTTTCACTGAATTCATAGAAAATATTTATATTTATCCTTTTTATACAATAAAATTGTATTTTGTTTTGGGAATGTTTTGCCTCCTTTAAAATTACAAAATACTGTATTACTGTATTTTGGGTTCATTTTGTTACTGATTTTTTAAAAGTTCCACATTTTTGTCTTCTGTTTGTAATTAAATTGAGCCTTTTTTAGGCTACTATGTGGAAAAGAGAGAAAGAGGTGGAGAATGGATCAAAGTTAATAACTATCCTACACCTAACACCAGCTTCACTGTACAAGATTTAAGAGAAGGTAATCGTTATGAATTCAGAGCCATTGCCATAAATGAAGCTGGACCAGGAAAGCCAAGTAAACCATCAGACTCCATTGTAGCTGAGCACCAAAGACGTAAGTTTACTTGTCAACTTAAATTTTATGTAATGCAAAGATCAGCATAAGAAATTACACCATTCAGAAGAAAATTGTTAATTTAAAATTGAGTTGGATTTGACCAATTATAATATTGTAATTTGTATTTTTTTCAGTGAGGCCAGATGCTCCAGAGCCACCTAAACCAGATCGCATTACAAAAGACAGTGTTACTTTATCTTGGCGGCCACCTCGTAGTGATGGAGGAGCCAAAATCAGAGGCTATATTATTCAAAAGAAGGCAAAGGGAGATGCTGACTGGAGTGATGTTAACTCATCTCCAATTCCTGTCACAGTTTTCACGGTATTTTATTTTACTTGAATTAATTAAATTATTAATAAAAATTGGGAATTTCTGTTGATGGCTTACAAAGTACTATTAAATAAGATCTTTTAGGAAAGTTCATATAATTGTCACCTAATTGAAGAGGCAATTACACAGAAATATGTTCTGCAACAGTAAATGAATCCATGTTGTGACCTTGTTACTTAGTAACAAATGTGTTTTAATAATTAAATTTGTTCAATGAATTGTCACCCCGACCAGGATCCAAACACAGGACTCCTGGGTTAAGGCCAGTTTCTCAAACCATTAAGCTACCGAGGCAACCAATTCTTAATTATATATCATAAATGAGCAATACATCAGGCCTATGAAATTCTTCAAAGAATTGGTTGACTCGGTAGCTCAGTGGGCTTAAACTCAGCGGGCTTAGAGCAACTGGGCCTAAACCAGGAGACCCAGGTATAAAACCTGGTCAGGGTGACAATTCTTTGTACAAATTTAATTAGAAAAGTTAATATTATTCTTGCAAACAACTCTGCCCCTTGGCCTGCTAAAAATATTAATTTTTATGAGCTCATTAAACTGAGAGCATCAGACTTTAATTTCTAAATAATGTATCCCCAAAACTGCTGCCGAATACACTACAATTGGATTTATATTGTTTTGGTCCAGCGTCAAATTCATGTCCATTTTCCCTATCATCAAAGGGTTTAGTTTCTAAGAACTAAGTATGTATTCTGAAATATTGCTACATCTTTTTCTACTAATTTTCTAATAACACAAACACAATTGTTACTTTATTTATTATTTAAATGCTTCTGATTTATTACAGTAAACTTGTGTTTTAAAAGTATATTATTTATCAATATGTTCAAATTAATGATAATATTAGTTATTATCCATGTACCTTTATTACTGAATCACTTTCTAATTACTGATTGCAAATTACATGTTATTTTAGGTTCCCAGTTTGAAAGAAGGAGAAGAGTATCAATTCCGGGTAATTGCTGTTAATGATGTTGGCCAGTCTGATCCCAGTCGTCCAAGTGGTAATGTCCTTATTGAAGAACAACCCAACAAGCCTTGCATGGACCTTGGAGCTCTTCGTGACATTACTGTACGGGCAGGAGAAGATTTCTCCATTCATGTTCCATTTGTTGCATTCCCTAAGCCAACTGCAAGCTGGTTTAGCAATGATTCTATTCTTGATGACAGTGATAGTCGCATCTTCCAACAGGTATATTACCTGCCTTCTATTATTTTATGAAATTGAAATAGCTAAATTCAATAATCTGGCCTGTTATTGGAACTTAGATTTTTAACATATGGTAAAGAAAGGAAATTTCACATTCTAATGATTGAGACACTCAAGTTCTTTTAAGCAATTAACATGCAATAATTCTTTAATAATGAACATTATAAAATTATGATTTTGAAAGGTAAATATGTTTTTGTGAAAATCTTCATTATTATTTTGTTTTTCTAGCTTGCTGATGACTTTGCCAGTTTAGTTGTGAAAAATTCCAAGAGATCTGATACTGGTCAATATAGATTACAACTGCGAAATCAGTCTGGTTATGACACTGCTACTGTGAACGTCCGAGTATTAGATAGGCCTGGTCCACCAGAAAACCTCAGAGCTGATGAATTTGCTGGAGATGCCCTCACATTATTCTGGAATCCACCAAAGGATAATGGTGGTGCAGATATTACCAACTATATTGTGGAAAAGAAAGAACCTCGTTCATCTACATGGGCAAAGGTATTGAACATTTATATTTATGCAAATAGAAGATTAAATTTTGTTTTCTATTCATTTTTCAAAATAATATATTCTGACTTTTTGGTAAGAAGTTAGACTTTAAAAATCCTATAGTAATTTTGTTGTTGACATTTTGAAGTACATAAAATATTTTCATTGTATGAAAATATTTTTACATTAGGTGAGCAGCTATATAACAACACCCTTCTGTCGTATTCGCAATTTGACAATTGGCCGAGAATATGAATTCCGTGTGATGGCAGAAAATCAGTATGGTACCTCAGATCCTGCCACAATTGGTGATCCTGTAAGAGCTCGACATCCATTTGGTATGTATGAGTCATCATAAAGGAAAGTATTCTGTTTTTACTTTTATATTGTTTAGTTGTAAGATTTAATTTCTGTGTTAATTGTAGATCCTCCTGGTCCTCCGGGAGCTCCACGTGGAATTGATTCAAGTGAAGATTCTATTACAATTGCTTGGACAAAGCCTAGGCATGATGGAGGTTCTCCTATTACTGGCTATGTCATTGAAAAACGTCTTATTAGTGAGGATAAATGGACAAAAGCCAATCATGTTCATGTTGTGGATCTGAGTTATAAGTAAGTGTTGGGTTAGAATTTCAAATTCATCAAATTGTTTAATTAGTGTATTGATTTACAGTATTACTAATAATTTCAAAGTATGATTTAGGTCCAGTTCCTTGAATAATGTAGCTCTTAGTTTTAGGGTACAAAGAAATTTAGGTATTCATCAAAATTAGGGAAATGCTCTTGATAGAAAAAATGATTGAAACAAAAATATGTTTTCTAACCATTCATAAATATCACAGGGTCAGCAGTTTGATTGAGAATCATGAATATGAATTCCGTGTTGCGGCTATCAATGCTGCTGGCCAGGGACCTTGGAGTTCATCTTCTGATACAATTGTATGCAGACCTCCACCTAGTAAGTTATTGTTATTTTTTCCTGTTGACAATAGAATATTGAATTGAATACATTCAAATTCTTACACAGCATCCAAATTATATCAACCATAAAATAAGATATTTATTAATTTTAATATTTTTATCTAAAGGTGCACCTAAGATTACCAGTGATCTCAGTATTCGAGATATGACTGTTATTGCTGGGGAAGAGTTTACTATTACTGTTCCCTACACTGGTAATCCTATTCCAAAACCAACATGGACCATCAATGGAGAAGAAGTATTTACTAGTGATAGAATTAAATTTGATACCACAGCCAATGCTACTATCTTCTACAACAAGTGTGCTAAGAGAAGTGATATGGGCAATTACACCATTCAGCTTGTCAACAGTGAAGGATCTGATACGGCATCATGCAAAGTGTTGGTTGTTGGTAAGCAGCAACTTCACTTATTAAGAATACATTTTTATGTACTTGTTTATTTAATACCTCCTTATCTCTTAAAGTTAATACAATGTACATACCATCAATACACTCCAAGGATTTAATGAATGGTGTGCTTAACTTTCAGATAAACCTTTGCCTCCACAAGGACCTTTGGATGTGTCTGATATTACGCCTGAGACATGCTCACTTAGTTGGAAACCACCACTTGATGATGGTGGTGCTCCAATCACTAACTATGTGGTGGAAAAACTGGATCCTTCAACTGGGGTTAGAAATTCACAATACTAACAATTAAACATAGATATACCCATTAATGATGGGTCATGGTAGCTCAATAATTAAGTTGTTTGCTTGCAAACCTTAAGTTCCTGGGTAAGAATTCCAGTATTGCTGGAGATGTGTATTGCCAGAGACAACTAGCCTCCACATCCTCCATTGACTTTGATAGACCTGTATGCTGAAGCACAGGGGTCCTTTAAAATTCTAGAAGTACCTAATTAATGTTTATTTACCATCACTATCATTGTTCTTTAAGTATATATAATTGTTTTCTTTAATTCTCTTTACAGTTATGGTCAAAGGTGAGCAGTTTTGTACGAAGCTGTCACTATGATGTCATTGGACTGGAACCAAACAAGAAATACAGCTTCCGTGTCAGAGCTGAAAACCAGTATGGAGTCAGTGATCCTCTGGAAACAGACCAACCCATCACAGCTAAATTTGCTTTCACTGTACCTGATCCACCTGGTCAACCACGCATCATTGATTGGGATAGTGGCAATGTAACTCTCACTTGGGATAGACCTCACAGTGATGGAGGTTCCAGAATACAAGGATATAAGATTGAGTACAGGTATATTATGATTGTTATTGGAAACCAATAAACTATGAAAGTAATTACTAATTAGCTCTCTGGATAAAAACAGAACATGTATAAATAAAAAGGAGTAATAATTTAAAAATTAAAATAAACAAAAAATCAGTAATGAAGCATAAATAACTTCTTTTAATTTTTCAGAGATGTAGCTGAAGATCAACAGTGGCGTGTAGCCAATGACTATCTGGTAAAAGACACAACATATCAAGTTCATAGTTTACTGAGTGGCCGAGATTATGAATTCAGAATTCGTGCCAAAAATGCTGCTGGGTTCAGTAAACCATCTCCTCCTTCATCACGATTTAAACTGAAGGGTAAATTCAGTGTACCATCTCCACCAGGTATTCCTAAAGTTGTTAAAGTAGGAAAGAGCTATGTGGACTTGACTTGGGAACCACCAGCTTCTGATGGTGGTAGCCGCATCACTGGCTATATCATTGAAAAGAGAGAAGTTGGGGGAGCACCATGGGCCAAGTGCAATGAGTACAATGTACTGGATTGCAGTTACACAGTTCTCAATCTCATTGAGAGAGCAGATTATGAATTCCGAATCTTTGCTGTCAACGCTGCTGGCAAAAGTGAACCTAGTTCATGTACTACTCCAGTCAAGATCTGTGAAATTGAAGGAGGAGAAAAACCTGAATTTATACGCACTCTTAATAATCAATGTGTCCCATTGGGAACATCAGTTACATTGGAATGTGAGGCACAGGGTAAACCTGCTCCTACTGCTCGTTGGCTGAAGAATGGCAGAGAAATTATGCTTGGTGACAGATTCCGAGCTGAATCTAAAGGAGGGGTCTTCAGACTTATTATTTCTGGAGTTTCTGATGTGGATGATGGAGATTATACTTGTGAAGCCAATAATATTCTTGGATATGTCACAACTACAGCTAGAGTGAAAATAGGAGGTAAGTACTTTACAACACTTCAGCACATGTGAGAAAAACATTTACTAGAAATATAAGTCAATTTCATGTCTTTTTTAAAATTATTATCAATGATCTTAAACCAATTATTAATAAAAAATAATTGAAGAAATTAGATATGATTTGCAGCTCTTATTCTTATTTTGAAGATATTACATATATCTATTGCTTTTCTCCAGCTCCTCCAAGAATTGAAAGATTGCCGGGTGATTTGTATTTGCCTGAGGGTGACAATACAAAGATCAAGATTTATTACTCAGGGGACCAACCAATGGAAGTAACATTAAGTAAAGATGGAAGGAAAATTGAAGAAACGACTCATATTAAATATACAGTATTTGATGAGTACCTTATCATATTTATCAAAGAAATCAATAAATCTGATGCCGGAACATATACATTAAATTGTAAGAATGATAGTGGAAGTGTTTCTGGATCATTTACTGTATATATTACAGGTAATATGAATCATTGAAAAATTATTGTATTCAAACAAATGTATCTTTGCAATATTTTTTGTTAAAAATGGAACTATATGTGTGAAACATTTTCTCTTTATTATAGGATTACCTGGTGCACCTATTGGGCCCTTGGAAGTTTCAGATATTACCAAGCATACTTGTACTCTAAATTGGAAGCCACCTTCCTATGATGGCGGTCTTCGTATTACTCATTATGTTGTTGAAAGGAGAGATATAAGCTCATCTCATTGGATTATTGTTTCAAGCTTCTGCAAAGAAACCACTTTTACCGTTCAGGGATTAACAGAAGGACAAGAATATCTCTTCCGTGTGATGGCGGTCAATGAGAATGGAATGGGTCCACCCCTTGAAGGAACTAACCCAATTAAGGCCAAAGCACCCTTCGGTAAGTGAAAAAGATAGGTAATTAAGTTCTTGAAATATCAAATTTTAACTAACATTTTTATTTCTTTCCATGAATATAAATGTATATTATTATTATTATTATTATTATTATTATTATTATTATTATTATTATTATTAGTGTTGTTATTATTATTATTAATATTGTTGTTGTTAATAATAATTTATAATTTATCATTACTTCTTCAGATCCACCATCAGCACCTGGAACTCCCAAAGTCACTGAAGTTGGTGGTGACTTTGTCAATCTGTCTTGGGATAAACCAGAATCAGACGGAGGGTCACGTATTCAGGGATACTGGATAGATAAGCGTGAGGTGGGTAGTGAGGCATGGCAACGAGTCAATGTTGCTATATGCCTTGCTCCACAAATAAATATATCAAATCTGATTGAGGGTCGCCAATATGAGTTCCGTGTATTTGCTCAAAACGTGGCTGGACTTAGTCCTGCATCCTCAGCATCCACTTCTGTGAAGATAAAGGATCCTTTAGGTAAATTGATATTTCTGTACATTAGTTAGAACTATAAAATTAATTACAAACAATAATAAAATATACCATGAATTTGTTATAGCTGCTCAGCCTCCGGAGATTGTGAAACCCTTGCGAAATATCAATGCAATCCAGAACAGAAATGCCGAGTTCCAGTGCACAATTACTGGCAACCCCAAGCCCACAATTACATGGTTAGAAAGATAACGATTAACTCTGAGTGATGTGCTCTTCTTACATTACTCACTTACGGCATTTCTTTATTTTGCAGGTACAAAGGTGCACGAGAACTTACTCAAGGCTCTAAGTATCACATGCTTACAGAAGGAGAAACATATTCACTTGTGGTTAATGATGTTTATGGAGAAGATGCTGATGAGTATGTGTGTAGAGCGAGTAACAAAGGTGGAATTAAATCTACCAGAGCAGAATTGATAATCATGAGTAAGTGCATTTGAATGCATTTTGAGTTCTCTAGTTTTAAAATTATTCAAACACTAAATTTACAGAACATTTAACCAAAGGAAAGAAAGAATGAGCATTTTTAGTGTTAATCCCCTTCCATTTTCCTAATATTTTCTTCTTTTTCATTTTATTTGAAACATGTATTTTTATTACTTTTAAATTAAAATATTTTAATTTTGAAAGTGGTCAGATAAAATAAAGAACAGACCTAATAGCCAGGTACTAGCCACAAATAAAAACATGTTTTTTTATTTGAATAAGAGCGAATATTTTTATTGTTGTTTAAATTGTTTGCTTTTTCTACATAAAATAATTCTTTTTCATAGCTGCTCCAAAACTGAATGTACCTCCACGTTTCCGTGACACTGCTTTCTTTGATAAGGGTGAGAATGTAGTAATAAAAATTCCTTTCACTGGTCATCCCAGACCAAGAATGTCTTGGACCAAAGATGGTGAAACAATCGAATCTGGTGGACATTTTGCGGTTGAAGTCAAGGTATTTGTCAATTAATCATTTAAGTTCAGTTATTTTATTACACATGTCATTAAGATGTCTAATGTAATGTTTTTTAATCTTTTGGTATATGCATTGAGGAGTACTACTTAAGGAAACATTCTATTTACAAAATATTATATGCACAAATATATTTATTTCTTATATTTTCTACTTATGTATTCTTTTAGGAGAGGCACGCAATCCTCACAATTCGTGATGGTAGTAAACTTGACAGTGGACCTTACAGACTTGTTGCAGAAAATGACTTGGGAATGGATTCTGCCACAATATCAATTCAAATTAGTGGTTTGTATCTAGGATTATTTTATTACATTTTTAATGTAATATATCCTATATATATATATATATA